GGAAAAAAGTTTAATAAATCTGTAACTATAAAGAAAAAATATATTACCATTAGGAAACAAATAATTGAAAGTAAATTGAAAATCACATTATAAAAATAAAAAATTGTTCAACCAACCATCTTTACTTACCAGGATTTCTCTCTGCCTCTGTGAGCTCATTGAGCTTGTTTTTAAGCCATAAAGACGTAACTTGTGAAAAGGATTGATTCGGCTGACACACTTTCGTTTTCCAGAAGATTTGATCTATAGCATACCAGATATTTTTCAAAGGTGTCAAGATTTGTCAAGAAGATTGTCTGGTTAGTCCACTGGATTCTCTGAAAGGTCTAAAAGGTGCAAGCTATTAGACCTTTCAGAGAATCAATCATAACAACAATAACAATATTATAAGTGTACTTATAATATTTTTATTGTTGTTATAATTGGTGGAGTTTCCAAAAGGTTTCCACATATCGATATATATCTTTGGAAGTAAGTCAATACCTTTACCTTCAATTATACGAGCCAACTTATGTCACGTCGATTTGATACTTGCGTAGGTCTCTCACTAGAAAAAATTAGCTAATTGTTGCAAAATCATTTCTATAATTTCGTCTCGTACAAGATTGCAAAACGTTGCAAATTCTTCATTTGATATTGATATTATTTATTGATCTGATATTAATTTTTGATTTTACATTAAATGGAGAGTAGTTGGTTGAAGAATATTGACTAACGCGGTGAGCAAAAAGAATACCCTTGATAAATTGCGGTCATATTTCATGATTTGTTTCCAGAACCTTTACGAAAGATTACTTTATTGTTCGGTTTTGATGTTCTACAAATCCGTTCCCCTAAGGGTAATAAGCAGACGTAACTCTCTGTTCTACCTCAGTTAAATCATATAATTGTTTACATACCTCATTTACGAAATCCTGATCTTGGTCATTGATTTGGATTTTTAAGTACCCATGCCGACACGTTACCTTGTACAAAAATTGAGCAATATTTTCTGTTTATTTATCCATGATCGATTTGGCTTCTGATCCTTTTGAAAAATAGTCAATCAAGACGATGACATGACAATACCCATCAACCACTAACGGTTAAAGATATCTAGTCCAACTTGTTTCATAACAGTTGATGGTATCTGTATTGACTGCAATTCTACTTTTGGAGACTTTCGATCATCTTGTTAATGGCACTGATTGCACCGCTTCGTATTTTCTTAATATACCAACAGCAATATCATTTTGGAAAAATTTTTGTGCAATCTTGTTGTACGTAGTGTTTTTCTTCTATGGAAGGACATTGCTTTAGAGTGTTCAGATTCTCCAATACCTTGGTGCACGTCTCTGATAATTTCAATTTAGCGTTCCTAATCTTTGATAACCATCCTTTTCTTACAAAATAAATGGCCATTTTTCACTTCAAAGTGTTTTGTTGCTCTTCGAAAATTTGATTTACATCCATAATCATGTGTAGGTATAGTAGAAGGGTATGCTTTTTTTCTTAGATATTCTTTTATCTCATCCAAATCAAAATGTTTTCTTTTTTTTGCCATGAAGTAACACTCGTGTGTTTATTTAAGAGATTGTTTGTTTCAGTTAAAAGTTGAATATTCTATTGGAACACAACATAGTTTGTGAAAATATTTCTCTCTCTGTATGCAGGTCAGTACTCGTTGCTGTGTCATGCGTTGATATAAGGCTGTGTTCTTTGATAATGTTGGACGACATTATTGAGTACATGTATTTTGAAAATCACTGTTTTTCTTCTTTCTTTGAGTATTGTGATGCCTCAAGTAGCTCTTATCTGCTCAGAGATTTTATGTTTTATAGAAAGTATTGTTTTGGTGGCACGGTTTTTGACTGTTTCAAGCGAGTCTGTATCTCTCTATTGGTATGGTGACCAAGCCTGAGTGGGGTACAAAAGGTAATAAAACACACGTGGTGTAAAATTTTTGTTAAAATGGTAAACTACAAATACGATAAACCGCTAAGGGGTTGGTTAGTTTTTTTAGCAGCTGCCTAACTTGAGTGTTAAGTTTAAGGTCTTCTTAAATTAAAATTTCCAGATCTCTTTCTAAATGAGTAACTTCAAGTGCAAGTGACAGGCTATCATGTCCTGTCACTTGCACTTGAAGTTACTTTTTTTATAAAAAATCTGGGAGTTCAATTTTCAAAAGAATTCTCATGTTAATAAATAAACATTATTACTCATGTCATAGCATGAAAAACTCTCGTGTTGATATTTCCCTTGGCCGATACGCTGTTGGTAATAACGCTTTTATATACTAACCAATAAAATATATTACAATATACTTTTCCATAGGAAACACTAATCTCGCATTAATCTCGGTTTGTTTGTCGGCAAAATTTTTGATAACTTTACATTTATTTCTATCTGATTTCAAGTTTTATTGAAGATAAACAGAGGCGTAGCTACCGTGGAGCAGTAGGAGCAAATGTTCCAATTTTTTTAAGTACTCCCAATGAGAGTACTTAATTGCTTGTCTAATAATACTCATTTTAATTTAAATTCGAAAATCAATTTTTTAATGACGATTGATTTTGCATTCTTAATTTCTGTTTTATGGTAAACTGAGCAGATTAAGTTAAAGTTAGGTCCCTAAAACCAAATAAACTTATTCGTAATTTGTGCGAAAATGACACTAAAAATAAAACTTTTACTGGGATAATAATGCTAATAAGGAATCACTTACAACATATCCCAAACTTCATTGCAAAACGATTCCAATTTTATAAAAGAGACAGGAAAGAGGGGAAATTAATAAATGAATATATGATGGAGTTACGCAGACTATCAAAGTATTGTGAATTTACTGAGAAATTAAATGATTACTTAAGAGAAAGGTTTGTATGTGGACTTAACAATTACAATGTCCAGTAAAAGTTATTAAAGATCAAAAATTTAACATTAGAGACAGCACTAGACACAGCTAAAGCATATGAAGCAAAGATGCTAAGGTTATTCATGGTACTAGAGAAGGTTCTATAGAACAAGATGGAGTACACAAGATGAATTCTTGGGAAATATTTGATGAAAACAGAAAATGTTTTCATCAAATATTTCCCAAGAAATATTTGATGAAAAAAGAAAACATTTGCCATTTTTTTTAGCTCAAAGTGTCACACATGTGGCAGAGTTGGACATATTAAAAGAAGATGTCAGAAAAAAAAGAATTTGATGGTATGAAGGAGAAGAAATTAGGAGTGAAACAAATTGAAATTTGCGAAGGATTGACTAAAGGAAGTACTGCTGATGCAGATGAAAACAAAAGTGATTTTTTAGCCTTGTATTTAATAAGTGAGGAATCTGAGAGGGTGAATGGACCAGTTATAAATAATGTAAAAATCAATGATAAAGAGGTTGAAACGGAAATTGACACAGGGGCTGCTGTTTTCGTAATGGGTGTTTTGGCTTATAGAAGAATAAAAGGAAATAATGAAATGCTAAGAAGGTCTGAAGTAGTGTTAAAGACTTATACAAAAGAACTTGTTAGACAAGAAGGAATTGGGCTGGTTAATATAGATTTTAAAGGACAATCTTGCAGTTTACCTGTAACTGTAGTTAAGGGAAATGTGTCCACATTAATTGGAAGAGATTCAATTCGGAGACTAAATCTAAAATGGGTGGAATTGTGTAAAGTAATGGGAAATGTTAATTTTTCCAATGGGTTTGATTGGAGGGTCCAAACAATAAAGCTCATGTTCAATCCGAGTCCTCAAAGCATACGGTACTCGTCTTGTATTAAAAAACTTTGGTTGTGCATTCTCACGTATGGGTATGTGACAATAAAATCTTTTAGGCATACTAAATTATCACTAAATACCTCTAAAAATTTTGCCACCAATGCTTTTAAGACCAAGGGATTTGGAGAAGTGTTCATTATTCAAAATGTCAGTACCTGTTGTGTCTGTTCTAAAGAATTTAAAAGATCTTTTAGGTTCGTTACACATGTGTGGGGATTATAAAGTTACAATAAATCAAGCTGCCCCTCTGGATACCCATCTAATACCAAACATCACTAATCAGTCACTATTGCAGGAAAACAGAAATACACCAAGCTCTACCTGTCCCAGGCATATCAGCAACTTCAGTTAGATAAAGATTCACAAGAATTTCTGATAATAAATACGCATTAAGGTTTATATTAGCCGACTCATCTTCAGTTGGTGTTCATAGTGCAACTGGTATCTTTCAAAGAGAAATTAATAGATTGTTGGGTAGGTTACCATTTGTGAAAGTAAGAGTAGATTATATACTCATTTGTGGAAAAATTGATAAAGATTATTTTAGCAATTTAGAATCTGTATTCAGAATATTGAAGAAATCAGGATTAAACCTTAAAGCATCTAAGTTCTTTTTCATGCAACTTGAAGTGGCATTCTGTGGTTTTAAGACCAACAACACAAAGCGTGGAAGCAGTCAGTGATATTCTACGACACACCAATATTAAAGAGTTAAGAGTATTTTTAGGAATGGCTAAAAACTATTATAATGCCTACTTACCTAGGATGGCTCCCGTTACAGAACTGTTCCATAATTTGTTAAGGAAGAATGTATTTTGGAAATGGAGTAAAAATAGTATAGGAAGCTTTTCAAAAAGTTAAAACTTTGTTATGAAATGCACCATTGTTAGTTCACTTTGATCCATCAAAAAAAATCATGTTTCACTGTGATGTCAGTCTACATGATGCGTGGAAGCAGTCAGGTATATTCTACGACCCACCAATATTAAAGAGTTAAGAGTATTTTTAGGAATGGCTAAAAACTATTACAATGCCTACTTACCTAGGATGGCTCCCGTTACAGAACTGTTCCATAATTTGTTAAGGAAGAATGTATTTTGGAAATGGAGTAAAAATAGTATAGAAAGCTTTTCAAAAAGTTAAAACTTTGTTGATGTCAGTCTACATGATGCGGAAGCTGTTCTGAGCCAAGAGTAGGATGATGGTAGTGAAAAACCTGTTAGTTTTGCTTCAAGAACTCTAAGTATGCGTGAACGAAATTATGCCCAAATTGAAAAGGAAAGATTAGCATTAGTTTTTGCAGTGCCTAGAGTGTTGCGAGAAACAATATTAGAAAAAAAGTTTCATGATGTTCACCCAGGTGTGAGTAAAATGAAAGCTTTAACAAGAAGTTATGTCTGACCCGGTGACTTGGTCAGGTCTGGTGATCCGGAATCGATTCCCAAATTGAGAACGAAGTAAAAAATTGTAAGACCTGTAAAATAAATTAGAGTGTCTATTAACTGAGTCTCATCCATGGGAATATCCAAGTAGACCATGGGAGAGGTTACAGATTGATCATACAGGTCCAATAATTGGGAAAATATTTCTAGCAGTAGTTGACAGTTTCTCAAAATGGATTGAAGTGGAAGCTGTTAAAAGTACTGAAGCTAAAACAAAAATTAGGGTAACAGTCAAATTGTTTTCAACCCATGGTATACCTAGATTTATTGTTAGTGATATTGAATCTGGGTTTTTGATTAAAGAATATGAACAGTTTTTGTCTTCAAATAATATCAAACCCATCACGCAGCGCCGTATCATCCAGCCTCAAACAGTCAATCAGAACGAATGGTTCAAACGTTTAAGAACTCTTTAAAAACTTTTTAAGGAAGTGATGTTAAGAGGTAATTGTGTCACTTCCTTTTTAAATATAGCTCAACACTACATTCTACAACTGGAATTTCTCCAGCTGAACTTTAACTAGGTAGAAGATTAAGAAATCCATTGTTAATGCTACTTCAGAAGCCATCACTTAAATCAACGAAAAACAGCTTTCAGGTATTTTTAGTAATTGAAGTCGATTTTTCCAAACTTAAGACCTTGATTATATATATATATATATATATATATATATATATATATATATATATATATATATATATATATATATATATATATATATATATATATAAACATATATATATATATATATATATATATATATATATATATATATATATATATATATATATATATATATATATATATATACATATATATATATATATATATATATATATATATATATATATATATATATATATATATATATATATATATATATATATATATATATATATATATATATATATATATATATATTCTCATTAGGAATAAAATAAGCCGAAGGTCAGGTCAAACCTGAATTCTAAAATGAGCCGTTGGTGAGGTCAAACCTGTCGTAAACCAGCATATTTAGAACAGTATGAATAATTTATGGTAGGAGGATTGTTGTAACTGTGTAATCCGGTTTCCGGTAAAACATTGATGTGCAACGAGTCAGCAATTATTCCGATGCAGTCCGAGAGTGACAATTGAAGAAACATTTACTTGTTGTTATTTATAGGGACATTATAGGGACTGATTATAGTTCTTGTATTTGTGGTTGTCTGTTTTTTCCTATAGAAGTAGTATTCTTTTTTAACGTATTTATAACAATTGTAAAGTAATAAGCTCTTCAACAGAACTGCATTCCATTTCAATTTTAAGTAATGCAATGGAACAAGTTGAAATCGATATTTGTAACTTGCCTGAGGTTGATGGTTTTAAACATTTAGTTGTCTTTATAGACTATTTTACAAAATCGTCAGAACTAAACCTCTTAAAACAAAACTGCTGATTCAACTGCACTTTTTTTAATATGAAGTAACCTGTCAACGCGGATGCATTAAAATACAAATTAACAATCAAGAAAAAGAGTTTGTAAATAAAGTCTGCTAAAAATTGCATACAATTACAGGAAATGAGCAAAGAGTAGCTTCTACTGATCATCCCCAATCTAATCGCTTATGTGAATATCAGAACTATAAAGGCATTAGTTAAAGTTTTTGATGAAAAAGCTGTGGAATGGCCCTACATTAATAAGGGAATATTATTTGGACATCATTTAAATGGCTTGGTCCATATACAGTACCTTCAACTTTTAAAAACAAGTTGTGCACAAAGGTTAACCAAAAAAATACTACTCTAAATAGGTACCTGACACAAAATTTTTAAATTCATCAAACACTAGATTATTATATATCATTAGAACAGTCTTCAATTCAATATTTTAAAGGTGAAAAAATTATCAAAATTAAACTATTCTACAAAAAGTTATGGCATTTTGAGTACCAAATTTTCGATATATGGATTTTTATGGATCTTGAAGAAACTGCGATCAAATGTTAAGTTTCTTTTAACTTTAAACGTCATAACTTGGTCAATTCTTATCAAAATACGTTTAACTTGGTGTCAAAAGATAGTTCTAACAAAGGGTGATATGTATATACAAAGAGTGTACAAAGAGCGCTAGAGGGGCGTCTACATAACCTTATATTATATTGAAAAATGTAGATTTTTAAAAAGAAAATATTATATCTAATCGTAGTTTATGATTTTTATTTGTATTTTCAATATATTTTAACAGGGTACCATCAAATATAATTTGAATACTTTAGGTTGATAGGCTAGAATAGGGCTGCCATTGTCCCGGTCTTTTTGCAGGAAAACGCAATAAAAGTTTTAATTTTAGTTTAGCACTGCGCTCTCCACCGTAAAAACTGGTTCGAAGCCAAAAGGACTTCTAGCCTTAGCTAGAAGTCCTTTTGGCTTTGAACGCACCCTCTGACCCAGTATCAAGATTATTACTTAGTATCTTTATATCTAAATGCATGCAATTTAGCGTTAAAAGAAAGAAAGATTTTAGGGATAAACGCGTGAAAAGATTGCAAAAGGTTAATGTTCGGAAGCTCTACACCCCTCACACCTTGGATAAGGTGGGTTAAAACTCAAGTATTTTTTTTTGTAATAACAAAATTTATTATAACAAAGTGTATATAATGTTTTTGTATATTAATTTTTGTATAAAAAATTTGTGTTTTATATAAATACTATTCAAAAGTATTTATATAGAACACAAATTTTTTATACAAAAATTAATATTCAAAAAGATTATACACAAATATTAACTTAATAAATATATATACATACACACTATACATGCACCTATCTATAAGTGTATATAGACTCAGCTAAGTGAATCTATATAAACTTTTTGTATAGTATATGTATAGTTGTTAATAACTACATTCCTGAATCCTATACCATTTCTTCGGCCATCATGAGGTTTGTATTTAAAATGAGGCAGGTCTTTACCTCCATTCTGGAGGTAAAGACCTGCCCATATGCGGATGGCCCTTTTTGATTTAGGCCCATGGAGGCTTCGGCACCAAATCAAGAAATGACTTCTAGACAAGCCTGTATTTAAAAAAAAAAAAGTTAATGAGTGTTCGAAAAATTAAAATGAAAAACAAAAATTAAAGCACAGTAAAAAACTTACCGAGGAGGTCTTGGTTTTTACTCTGGGCGCCAGATGGCAGTGATAACGTGGATGAAGCTGGTAAATTTAATTTTTAAAATTTTTAATATGAAACAAGTTTAATAATAATTGTAAAAAATATTTTTAACCTATTTATAATTATAACTATATCTTCGCTATTAATATCGTGAAGCCTTGCACTCGCAGTCTCTTCCTTTAGAGTCTCTGTAATAGAAAGTGAGAAATACCTTTTATATTGTTTCTTCAAGACAACTTGCATTAGGACAAGCATAAGTTTTGCACAGCATTAAGATAAGCACAAGTCTTGCACAGCATTAAGATAAGCAGAAGTCATTTAATAAAGCTAGTTATCAATGAAGCTTATATGAGTGTTAGTGGTTAGCAATGGAGCATATATTGATTTTAAAATGTTTGGGGCAAGAGTTCCCATTTACAATTTGTAATTATAAGCAAAACCTTTTTCATTACCTGAATACGAGAAACACGATCAAATGTTGCATCCTCAGCAGAACATAAAACTTTTTCATCCAAGGCCCATTATGGAGTTTTCTATACAATCATGTACGCACATTTCTTTTATGGCAGTTTTATTACTTATTGTTTTCATCTAACAAATCGTTTGGATCACCTTTGACGTCTATAAACCCCATTTTGTTCATGGCCAAAAATTTTAGCTGCCATTCAATCATTTCCAAATAAATGACAACTCTCACTCTTAAGAGACTGTAACAGTGAGCGACATGAAACTGCAATTGTATCAAAAAGATGCAAATGTCAGTTCGGCTCATTCAAATTCTTGCCCCAAGTTGCGCAAACTTTGCTTATTGTAAGATGGTTGACTGGAACTCTTTCTAACATTGTGTTAGATATATTTTCAATAATCGAGTTACGACATTCATCAAAGCTACTTTGGTAAAAATTTGAATAAATAAATGTCATATAATCAATTTAAGTGCATATATGACTTTCATAATGAAATGCTGTTCCTCCTGGTAACTGATCTAGATCAATAACAAGACAATTATCATAAGTTAATGCTATTAATGTGGACACCACTTTGTGTTGTAGCATCAAACCCAAGAGTAAGATTAATATTATGCATAGCCCACTTGACTGCTTGCAAATTTGAAATACTGCTAAGTTCACAAGCCATCGATGAGGAAAATTATTAAAAATAACACCCATATAATGACCTATTTTGCTTATAAGATATGGAACGTTACCTGTAATTCTATTACACAACAACATATTATAAATTATCATTCTTATTTGTAATGAATATGTTTTTTCATCTTCTGGCAAAATTACATTTCTTTCCTACTCAATCTAGAGCAAATCTTTCTCCAAACTAGCAATTACCCTGTTAATTAGCAAAACAGTAGCATTATGCTTAGTTATGAGTTGCCTTAGTTTATGCTTTTCATTTAATTTCAAAGCTTTTTTTTCATCTTTAAATTGACGAATCTGCTCATTGTAATTTTTTTTTGTGTGTTTTTTCAGATCTCATATTTTTGCACTTAAAGCTTTAACTATTTTTCTTTTTGTTTCACTTTTTTTTTTAGAACACTTTATTGATTTGGCATGCTGTTTAATTCAGCTTTTAAAAATGCTATCTTGCTCCGACGTTCTTTGTAAGAGTTAGATAACTGAGAAGAAAAGTAAGATAACCTACCCTTTAGTTTTTGTTTAATAGAGCTTAATTTCTCTTTAAATATATATATTTAGTTATGTCTCGTTCGCTATAACCTGCAGATGTTGACGGTCCACTAAAGGAGAAATTATATTCATATTGGTATATGAAACATTTGAGGAGCCTGATGATAATACAGTATTACTTAAAAAGTTTATTTCAAAAATCAAAAAAACGCTTACTGTCCTCAGCTCTGTTAAAATATTTAGCCCAGTTTAATGATTTCTTTATGAGACTTCTAACCTTATTTTTACTTGTTTCTATCGTAAAATGTACAGTGACTTGTTGAGATGTTTTGAGAAATAAATCACTATTTTTTGTAAATAACAAATATTGTATATTAATTTCTACAAATTTTATTACACTCTGTATTAGAGTCAAGCCTATTTGTGACATTTCAAAATTAGCAGTTAAATACTTTTTGCATTCACCATGAAAAACAAACTTCGTTTTTGGCTCCATGATAGCTAGAAAAAACTTAATTTTTATAAATAAAAAATAATATATCTAAATAATGATAGATACAACGACATTACAATTGCTAACTACATTACAACTCTTTAGTACAATTGAATAATCTATATCC